CTACAATTGAGTACACATATTTTACCTGACACAGAGGATGATGATACTCTGCAGTGAAGGCATGCATTCCGTATATTAAAGTCTAACAGATCTGTTGAATGCCATTTCATGCACTTCTGAAATTTTCCGCATAATACGTAGTAGAATGTATGAACAGTAGTTTATTATGACTGTTGGCTACCATGTGCCACCTTAAAAATGAAGAAGGATGTTGAATGTAGTCCTCAGCTGGCAGATGGTACCATCGGTTTCAAAGCTGGAGATGCGTTAGTCTGCTATAAAAAAGATAAAAGAAGATGAATAACAATGGATTAACTAGAATCCAGGATTTTGATTGGTTGCATGTGCTGTAATGAAATTCCCATTTTATCGTGTCAGAAACGCACACCAGAGATTCCAAAATTTGTCCTCCTTCAGAACAGTTTTCAGGAACATACATACCTAGTAATTTTGAAGACAGTACTCAAATTCATGTTTGTCGTAGAAATGTCTGTAAATAACTGCGTACTATTATAGACATTTGTAACCGGAGATTTTGCTTGACAAGAGATTCGTATCAGCCTCATGTAGTTGTAAATTAGGGAACTGATGTGGATGTTCCTCATTGAGCATACAAAATATTTGGAGAAGCTAAATTTATTCTTGGTATGCAGAAAAAGGTAAATGTGGGGATGGAATGGATTTTGCTATTCACAATAATAGCTAGAAGCTGCACTCACAAAGTCACTACATTGGCTTCAATTGTTGTAGGAAATAAATGGTGAAAGTGAAGTTGCTGGTGCTTATAGTAAGCAACGTTGCATGTAGACATATTGGAGGGGTTTGGAGGTAAAGCTCCATGCATTCTTAACCTTGGCAATAGAAGGAGGCGAGTGGTCTGGGGAAGCTGCCAGTTTACTGAATTAGTTAGGATGTTCCCTGGCCTTTGTAGAACCCAAAGAATTCATTACCATGTTTGCAAGAGCATATCAACAGTCTGTATTCTAAGGCAGATGAAACTAATTCACACTCACAAAATATTATTTGGTGCAGTTTTGTAGAGCTTCCTGCTTCATTCTTTTCCATTGTAATACATTTTCCTGATTCAGTGTTAATACTGTTAGTTTCAAGGTTTTAATGAAGAAAAGAATGTAAATAATACACGGGCAGCTTTTGTATATGCTGTTCAGGAAAGATAGCCTTAAAGTTATGTATGTAAAATTTCTCACTTATGTAGTAGCAGAAAAATTCATGTTTCTGTACTTCAGAAACAAGCTGATGGATGACTGATTTGGTTATCAATAATTTTGTAGAGACGTTTTCTGTACTTCTCTTCTGCAGAATTTCCTGTGTCAGGTTTTGCCTTCTTGATTTCCCTGGTTTTTGTAAGAGAATTAAGAACAGTGTGTCATGTTCATTTTGCATGTGACTTTGAATTTCTCTTATTTTGTGAATAAAATATATACCCAGACCTCCTGTCTGTAATATATGAACCAAAATGTAAGAATTTGTGAACACAGAAATGAAGGATTTGAGCAGTAATACCTGTTACTGTCATGAATATACCTCACTACTAAATGAAAGTCAGAAGTTCCATCCAATATTAGGTGGTTCTTGAATTTGTCTTGAAATGTCACCCAGTAACACTTCATGGAGGGCTTTTAACAAATCATTTTGAATGGCCAGTGAAGTGCCTTTGAAATCAGTGGTGATTCAGCAGAGGATCATAATGTTCTAGCAGTTTGAAAGATTCTGTACAATTATTTCTGTCAAGGGGCAACTCGGATTATTCATGACCTCTAAATGGCAGTTCTTGATCTGGCAGCAGGCAAGTCATGTGACCCATTTCAATATTTCTTAATTTTTATAAACTCCTTTATTATATTCTGAACTACTAAATGTAAGTTGAATATCCAGAAGCTCATAATTTCTTTGGAGACTTTAATAAAGAATGACCAGTGTGTACTGGACATGTTTTGCGGAAGATTCATGTTTTTCTTTTCTTTTCATGAAGCACATAAGTCATAAGTTTGATATTCAAAATATTTCAACTTTTTTGAAACATCAAGCATTGCCAGCAAATCAGTTTTTCTCAGATTGTTGCAAGCTGTAAACCATGGGTAAAAATGGTATTGCAAAACAAAAGTTCCCAGTGAACATTTTGTTTTCTTTATATTCACTCTTAGGGTTTTATATAGGTTGGCAGTGTCTCCCATATTTTAATATTTTTAGGATGCCAAAAATAATATTCTTAAAACAAAGGGACTAATTTTCTCTCTTTATAAGAATCTTTCATGAAAGGAAAAGTACTTGCACAGTACACAGCTAAACTGATCTTGGTGAGGACCACACAGTCTACCCATGTTTAAAGGGCAAATTCTCGCTGTTTCCTTCGCTGTGAAGCACGCATGAATGAAAAGACTGGAAACTCTGGTCCAGTGATGAAACTACTTGCTCGTCTGTTGCCTGCGAACCTGATCAAATGTTGTAGCAGGTAAGCTGCATAACTGATAAGGCCACCTCCAAGCAAAAAGTAATGCTTGTGTGGAATGGAGAAGAGAAAACCACATATTCCTCCAAATTTAGTGGACTGGTGGCACACTACTAGCCAGACCGCTGAGGACAATACCCCTATCCATTTCACATTCCTGCAATTATCGTGAAATAAGAAAATGGTGTATGTTAATGTCTTGCTGCTCAAACACTCCTTAAGAAGTATACTTACAATTACTGTTCTCCACTACTGCCATCATCAGCTGATTTGACATGGTCAGGATTGCTGTCACATGAGTGGTCATCCTCTGTGCCATCAACTTCTTAAAACTCTTTTTTCAAGTTAATACAGGCAGCATGAATGCCCGTGCACTTTTTATCAACATGCAAAACTGTTAAGTGTTGAGTCACTTGATTTTCATTGTTGGTGTGAATGAATGCTTTCAAAAATTCAACCATCACTTGTTCCGTCTTTCATTGCAGCTTCAAATGGCTTATGTATAGATGCAGCATGCATGTCCATTTCTCCATGGATGACAACTTGATTTATATTTCTGATTCTTCCGTCATATGCGAAAAGTACCTGTGTACACTGAAGTTGTGCTTGGCTTGGCTTGGCTTGTGGGTATGTGGAAGTTTAAGATGGCACTGTTAATGAATTCTGTTACCAAATTTCGTACAAATAAACCTTATATCCAAAGTTTGGTTTTATTTTCCCATTCTTGGAAGGAAATGCATGGGGTATTTGAGAAAATGTGGTAACGTTAGGAGACAGATTACATACACAGATTGTGGTCTTCTGGTTTATGACACTATGCAATCACGTTGCCATTGTTTTCTAGGAATGTGAAGATGGAGGCAGTATGAATTATGTTGCCAAATTTCTTACAAGTAAGCCTTATATCCAAAGTTTGGCTTTATTTTCACTCTCTTGGAAGGAAATGCATGGGGTATTTAAGAAAATGTGGTAACATTAGGAGACAGATTACATATACAGATTGTGGTCTTCTGGTTTATGACACTATGCAATCACGTTGCCATTGTTTTCTAGGAATGTGAATATGGAGGCAGTATGTACCTTTGAAATGGTGGTAACCACCTATAAGACTACACGTTGTTGTAGTCCAGAAGACCACCACCAGATCTCTCATTGATGTGAAGACCTCGGATATCACGTAGCTGATGTGTAAATCACCAAAAGGACTGAGGAACCAAAACTTTTGAAATGTAATGGAAAATTAAAGTACTGAAATACAAATATATTGTCTATATGTCACAGGATGGCTTACCACAGGCCCTGTCATTGTCATCTTGTCCATCATGACTCATGCATTCGGTGTTGTGTTAGCAGTTGAAGCAGACATGTGCTCTGGGTGTGTAGGTGTGTCACAGGCCAGACAGGGCAATTGGCTGTGGCTAAACTGATGAGTGACAGAGGTATGTATCATTCATTCAGGACAGTCTTTTCTTTCACCTGCATTAAATTTCATATCTTGTTAATTTAAGTTACAAGAACCATTTTTCTTGTGAATCCACGTGGCTATCCAATGGTTAGAATGCAAAACATAAAATCTAATAAGAGTCTGAAGGTTGTTGGTGATGCTGCACTTTGTCTATTATCTGATTCATAAAATAATAAAACTACAATATTTTGGAAGCTGAATTTTGCTTCCATCTTCGTGTAAAGAAGGAGAAGAGGATAGACCAGGTCTGAGGCTAGCTCAACTAGGGGCCAACAGATAGGATTTCTGGCCTCTTCCCCTTTCATATCTGAAGACAGAAGCAGAATCCAGACTTCAAAATGTTGTAGTTTTTTTACTTTTTAATTTGATGATGGACAAAGTGCAAAATAATAATTTTACATATATTACATCATCATCAGAAACCTACAGAGTCCGATTACATTTTGTTTTGTATTTAGACGTTTGTGTAGGAGTGTGGATTCAAAGGAAATGGTTCTTGTAGGGCTACACTAACAGAAAAATTGATGACACAGTTTTCATCATGCAATTGAATGGCATGGTATAATAAATTTTCTCAGGCTACCAGCCATGTTAGGTGGCTTAATGAAAAAAAAACCCAGCGGTTCGAGAACGTTCCTTGTCTTCACCCTCAGGGTACCCTGATTCTCCAAACATTGGTGCTTTATTCATTAAACCAACTTACACTGCTGATAGCCCAAGAGTTCATTATTGTTCTTCTTAAAGTGCCTATCCATTCCGGATGTTGGCGGTCAGCATAGCAATTTGAGATTTATTGGCTGCTACTTGAAACAGCCCTCCAGTTTACATCGAGAACCAAGTTTTTAGGTTCTGAATCCAGGAGATTCTTGGTCTGCCAGGTCCCCTCTTTCTGAATACTTTTCCCTGGATTATCAGCTGAAGCAGCCCATATCTATCACAATTTCTCATGACCGAAATATTCCAACTTTCTCTTTTATCTTGTTAACAACCTTGACGTCTTTGCGGAGTTTCTTGAGAACTTTTTTGTTGGTTACACGCTCAATCCAGGAAATTCTGAGAATACGTCGGTACAATCACATTTCGAAGGCCTCCAACTTTTTTGAAGAATCGTTGGTCAACGTCCATGATTCAGCGCCGTATAAAAGCACAGAGAGAATATAACATCTGAGTAGTCTTAACTTGGTGTTTAAGTTTAAATCTCTACTCCTGAACATTGATCCCATTTTGCTGAAAGTGGCTCTGGCTTTTTCGATACGGCACTTTATTTCCAAGGAGTGATCCCACTGGTCATTAATTGTGCTGCCCAAGTATGTATATTTCGATACTCTTTCCATTTTTTTATTATTAACTACCAGCTGACCGGGTAATACAGCATTTTTACTGATGATCATGAGCTTCATTTTTTGGATGTTAAGATCTAAGCCATGGTTGATACTAGCATCCATCAATTCTTGGATACCTTAAAGAGAGTCTGCGAACACTACAGTATCGTCCACGTACCGAATGTTATTTAATCGCTCTCCATTCACAATGACTCCAACGTTTATATTTTCCAATGCCTCTTCGATTATGTGTTCCGAAAAGAGATTGAATAGAATTGGAGATACATTGCATCCCTGCCGAACACCATGCCTTATTCTTATGTCTTCTGAACAGACACTTTCCACCTTGATGTTAGCGGTTTGGTTCCAACAGAGGTTAACAATAACACGCAAATCTTTTCTATCAGTATCAGTCCTTTTCAGGACTTCCACCATCCTATCGTGCCGAATTCTATCGAAGGCTTTCTGGTAGTCATCTACATCACAGTTGACATCCCTGCAGTTCTGAAATAATACTTGGATCAAAAATAGTGCCTCCCTTGTTCCCAGTGCATTTCGAAATCCAAACTGGGTGCGAGTAATCTTTTCTTCGCATAGCCTGTATTTTTAACAAGAGGCTAACGAGGCTAATTGTTCTATAATCCTCACATTTGTTTGCACTGCAATTTTTGGGGGTAGGTATAAATGTTGATTTCAGCCATTCATAAGGAATGCATCACAAATCCAATTGTACACCTTCGTCAACCACTTAATCCCATCATCATCTAACAGTTTCAGGAACTCGGCTTGAAAGTCGTCAGGTCCCGGAGTCTTTCCGTCTATCTTTTGTGCATTAACATAACACAGTGATATGTGGTCCAGAGACAGCACTAATTTATGGAATATTGTTATTTCTCTTATCTTGGAATAGAAAAGCGATGTAATTCTTCCAAGTGTCGATTCTCTGATCCTTATGGATAGTGATGTTATTGTGCTCTTCTAATAGGCGTCCAACCGTCCGTGATCGATGTAATCCACTGATCTCCGTGACCTTACGATGCATATTAAAGTTATCATGTTTTTGTTCAAGTGCTTCCAATTTGGCACAATTTTCATTGGTCCACTTTTCTTTCGCTCATCTGATTTCCCCTCGAATATTTTTCTGTAGACCATTGTACCTTACCGAATCTGTGTTGTTATATTTTTGTTGTTCTTCCATCATTACTAAGATTTTGCTGGTCATCCATATTTTCTTTTTCTTGATTTTATCAGTTTTAAGAATATCATTTTTTAATTTGAGAAGTTCACACTCCATTTCCCCACCCACTTCGTTCTCTTTGAGTTTGCTGGATAAGTTCTGCTTTAGTTGTTCCCTTACTCTTTGGTCTTTTAATTTTGTTGTGTCATATCTATGCATGCACTTCCTTCTCTTAACTCTCTTCAGCCTTAGTCTAACTGAACCAACTAACAGAATATGGTCTGACTGTATATCAGCACCACTGTGAAGATGTTTCGAAATCGTTTGTTAACCAAAATATAATCTATTTGGTTCCTTACTACATGTCCCAGTCTATCAGCAGGGGATTTCCAAGTATACAGTCTACGTGGTGGTAGCTTCTAAAATGTGTTAAGAACACCCAATTCCTCTTCTGTCGCAAATATGTTTAGTCGATCCCCTCTCCTGTTTCATTCACCAAGGCCACATGGTCCAACATTCTCATTCAGTTTTTTCTTACATAATTTAGCGTTAAAATCCCCCATGACGATTGTGATGTCCCTTTTACGCAATTTCTTGAGTGTTTGACGGAAGGTACTATAAAAGTTTTCCACTTCATCTCCAAATTTATCCAGCATTGGAGCATATACCTGCACGATGTTTACATTAATTAGAGCTGCATTTAGTTGAATTATTAGCATTCTCTCTGAGATAGGAAAAAGTTGTGAACATATCTGGAAAGTCTGGTGCCAAGAATCGTCACAATCAAGCTACATCACCGGGCGACATTAATTTGTTCCTAACGCTACACACATCCATCTTTATAAATGAATTGGTATGCCTCCGGTCCTTACAGAAACAATGTTTATGGTCGGATTTGGGCTTATTTTCAATATGTACTCTTGTACGGTTTAGTTTAACAAAGTTGTCAGTTCATAACTGCAAATTCCATTGTTATTCTTTTCAGATCCTGAAAGCACGAATCCGGAATTTCGATAATATGTTGCCAGCGACTTCATAGGTGGCCGGGGTTTGTTTCTGTCTGTTTCGATGTGGGTGAAAGCATCAACCAAGTTGCTATTTGATTACATGGTTTGGCTGAGATGGTTGTGTGAAGATGTCATGTCATGTATAACTCATATATGCGGAACATCGTTACAGCGCATTTTTAGTACCGTTTTACATCTCGTAGTCAGTCCATTCACGATTAGTGTGCCTTTCTCAAACCCATTTGTTGTAAACTTTTTGGACACCCGAAGGCAGGTACGAGCTCCAAAGGGTTTTATACAAAGGCACTGTGACTGGCCATTTCGACACAGGTTTTCCTTCGTCTTTAAACAAATGCTCAGACGGTTCCCAAGCTCATGGTTGCTACTGCATGAATCACATGCAGCCCTCCCGAGTTATATAATCAAATTTACCCCCTTACTATGAAGGTCACTAAATTACCACAAATTATAATCACAACATTCATAAATAAATGAATAAAATATTCTACTGTCTTTGTTACCAAACTTTCACTACTTACCTCCTAACATCTTCACTTTTATTCTATCCTTAGCTGGAAGGTAAGTGGGCATTTCCTGAGAACCTTCTGGCAAAAGGATACTTTCGAGCACCAGAAACAAAGTCATTTCAAGTATGTTACACCACTTCAAGTTGGTTCTTTTCAAGTAATATGACTGTGTGTATACTTTTACATTCAGCCAAAGTGAAGTGGTAAAACATTCTTCAAATTACTTCTGATATCCGTTGTAGACAATCAGAAACCCAATCTCTAACAACAGTTCAGTAATAACATGAAGATGGTTTCATAACCAAAAACATGTTACCACAAGTGGATTGAATACAAGATGTAAATTGAAACTGCATTGTTGATGGATAAAAATATTTTTGTTAAAATTAAACATGCTTAAAATAATGTAGTTGCACTAAGACTTCTTGAGCATAAAATAACATCATAAACCATCAGCTTTTTCAGATTGTCTATAGACGCAGGATGAAAGAATTTCTGACACATTATTATTTATCCTTTCCCCATTTTGTAAAATAATTTTACACAAGTAGTGCCATACAAAAACATTCTTGAGTTTTATAGACTAGACCAGGGGTCGGCAAACATTTTTTCTAAAGGGCCAAATAGTAAATATTTTAGGCTCTGCAGGCCAAGAGGCAAACTTGAGGATATTTATATAGGTAAGCCTACTTAAAAAATTAAATCCATGGCGCAACAGCTCCAGAGAGCCAAAGCCGACTAGCTTGACTGCTGGTCTCACGTTCACATGCCTAAGCAGAGGTGAACGATCATCCAACCAGATATAGGATGACATGTGGTCAGCACGACGAACCCCCAGCCATTGCTGGCTTTCCTGACCGGATTACGCTACTCATTGTAGCTCCCCAATTTCCTCACAATGGTGGGTTGGCACCGGTCCCATACACTGGTCGAAAACTCATGAGAAAATTTCTTCTCCCCCGAGACTCGAACCAGCGCACATTCCGTATCACCGGTCCGAAGCATGATGCCTCAGACCGCGCAGCTTCGGCGCGGGACGGTAAGCCTACTTATGTAACAAGAAAAAACCAAGTTTTAACAGATTTATTGAAAATGTAACGTAATAATAATAAGTAGACTACAATTGTTTGAAATACCGCTCTACTAATGAGAAGAATGGAATTGCCTGTTATGAGTTTTAAATTCAGTAGTCCCTATTATCAAAATTGATTGTAAATGATCATCCGTTAATGCTGACCTGTATTGAGATTTTACATATTTCATCTTTGAAAATGTCTTTTCACACAAAATACAGATATAAATCCCCGAGCATATGACCTTAATTGACCGTATTCATCACTTGGAAGACATAGAATTCTGTTAGATTCTCCACTTGAGATTTGCTTTTTAGCATGTGCAGATTAATCACTTCCAATTGAAGGTTAGGTGGAAGCTTCTCAATTGTACAGTCAAATGGATTTTGAAATATGGAAATGTCTTCTGCACTTGCATCAAGATCCAAAAAACTCTGCTGGAACTGTAGTTTGAGTTCAGAAAATATATCCGCTGCAAATTTGTGCAGGAATGGAGATTTCACTTTTTCTTTCAATTTTTGACAGCATGGGAAATGCACAAAGCAGTTTGAAATTTCAAAGAATTTAAATATGGAAAATCCGTTCTTAATCATTTAAAGAAGATTTTGTAAAAACAACTTACATTCTGTGACCCCATGCAATTAGCACTGAGAATACCACATCCCTATATTTTGAAACCACCAAATAATGTCGCTGAAACAGAATGTAATATTCCATGTTACTCCAAAATTCCACCCTCTTCCCCCGAAAAACACTATAATGAGTAACGTAGCAAAACTGAAAATGGGTGTACTGAGGTACTGCACCGTGCATTGTGGTAAAAACTGACTTGTTTCAAAGGGGGTTACTGTCTCAATGATCAGGGTGATGCCAATATCCCACAATATCTTCATACTTGCAGACATGAGAACCTGAAATCTCACTTTTCAAACCTGGTACCGAGTACTGCAGAAGAAACTACTCCAATTTTAAAAAAAGAAGCTATATCAACTGGTTTAACCAGTGTCACATCACCCATCAATGATACAAAATTCTCAGCACTTCCTTCAAAAGTACAAACACTCATTTAAATCAATCAATCAAGTAGTCCAACATTTCCTTAATGAAATGTACTGAGCCATTTTACAATTTAACTGTATTATAGGATAGAAGTATTCAGATCATGTGGTATTTGAGTTAATGCACAGCCACACTTTCCGAAGCTCAGATTTCATATTATATTTCTGAAGAGATGCTGTAAACATGCATGTTTAGCTAAAACGTGAAGCAGTAATTTAGAGAAGAAACCGACTGCCACAGAAGTTTCAATCAACTAGTCTACAATTTTGTTTCAGAATTGGATCTGTTGCAGCCTGGGCCCTTGATGCTGACTGGGGAAACAGTACTAGAGTGCGACATGGAAGTGATAGTGTTTAAATTTCAATAATATAATGCAATATGGAATAACCACAGTCCTCATAATGTAAGACTGTGTAACGATGCAGTTGTGCTCCACCAGCTTGGCCCCATGCAGAATTTTGGAGCCAGGTGGTTAGCACTCTTGCTTGGTACCTGGAAGAACCTGGAGACCGGCTATGCCAAGTTTCTTTGTTGCAGTTTTTTGTCAGTAGCTTTAGGTAGGTAATTATGTGCTCAGAAACTGAAGATTTTAAAAATAGCATTTATTTACATTTTATAGCTTATTCACAGTACAAGTATGTCATAGTATGAAAATGAACACATCGGACAGTGATTATGAAAACACTTGTGCTTACTTATTACAGCAATCTGCATTAATATTTACAATATGTATAAATTTTCAGTTGAACTAAATTGTACAGAATAGGTGCAATGGGAAGATATGATGAATATTCATTGCTGGCTGAAAAACTTTCATATCATAACTTAAACTTGTAATGCTGTATGGAAAAGTACTTACGGATTTTAACCCTGCATAGTACCGTCCTGACAACTGAGCACAGTATTAAGCTGATGGAGATCATGCTTATGCCTGTGTATATGGTGTGTACATCATAATTTATTTGGAACTTCTCCATGTTGTCCACAACAAAGGACAGCAGTGAGAGTAGGAATTTATTTGCATAGGGAGTACATAAAATTTGTTAAATTTTTCTTTGCTTGAAGATGACTGTCTTCTGGGTTGTTGCACGGTGTAGTCTGGTAGAAGTTTACTGATGTTTCAGAAGTTCTTGATGCCTCCATCACCAGGGCCCTGATGATGGTTGCTGCGCCATGTTATCTCGTAGCATTTCATAGGTCCTCTATGCCTCCATTATCAGGGCCTCTGAAACGTCGGTAAACTTCTACCACGCTACACAGCACAACAACACAGAAGACAGCCATCGTCAGAATCATTGCCGTGAAAACCTGAAATCCTACATGTTTCAGCTTCCTTTAATGTCTAGGCTTCCTCATTTTTCTCTTCTTGGATTTGCTCTTGTTCTTCTTCAAGAGTTTGTCAACTTTCCTAATAAACAGAGATAAAATAATTTAATAAAACATTCACTGAAAGTTTGATAATGAAATTTATATACAAAGTTTCTTTTAATAATACTGTATAAAAATTGATGTAAAACATCAGAACAAAGTGATAAGTAAACTGTACCACTTAACATTTTGCACGTTGTAACCAAACAGTCAGTTCATGCCAACTCAACAAATGTGTTTTCTACTTTAATGAAACTTGGTTTGATTAGAGGCTGCTATGAGCCAGTAAAATAGGAAAATACTGTGCCCAGTAACACAAATAGTTTGAGGACACAGGCTGTTCCTCACTTGGATACTTGTATCTCCAAGACTAATAAGCATATGTCTATGAAGTTTGGTTCATATGTAATGCCTAAAAGAACACAATTGTGTAATTAAATGTCTCATTTTCCGAATTTTTCAAATATATTAAAAAACACACTTTGCAAATCTGTATTAAGAATACATACAACTTCCAGTCATGTAACAAATGTTGAGCAAACAATAACTCCATTAAAATGTGAAGTGGTAACAGTCACTGTTTCCTCACATACAGTAGGGTACCGCATATACGGCAGGTTAGGGACCAGACCTCCGCCGAAAAGCGAAAATCGGATCTTTGCCTTTTTTCAATTGCAAATACATATCAAAGCCTAATAAGATGTTTACACTATCATATAGTAAGTGCACAATAGCGCTAGACCTAAGAAAACGATATGAAAGTAAAATGAATATCAGTAGTAGCTGTAAACAGACTGAATCAGCGATGAGAAAATGGCGCTGGACGCACTTCTCTGACTCAGCTGTTGAGCATGTGGGGCATATGCACACAATTGAAAAGCGCCGTATTAGCGGATCGCCAAAAAGCTGGGCCCTACTCTACTGTGTAAATTTCAGTATCATGCCAGGAAAGTTTCAGATGACAGGACAACAAAAGGAAATTTCTTCCCCATGGTCAATTACACTAGCTGTGCTCATCATTGTCTCCCTGCATGAACAGTGCATGGCCCAATTTGGAAGCTTTTACATCATGAAGATGTTGCGTTGTTAGTGATGAGTAAATGCCTGTTGTCATAGTAAGAAGGACTTTCAACATAACAAGCACATTTTATACTCTTCAGAAGATTCAGTATGTCAAAACGCTGGATAGAAAAATGAGAAAGATATTGAACTTGAATCATGGAGCTGCATCACAGTACAAGAAAAATAAAAATGTTACCAATTGTGTAAATCATAACAATGTTGAAATTGCTGCAGAGCAGTAATTCTTTGCTGTCAATCATGGCAAAAATCAGTGTGATGCTGTACGTGGCATAACAAAATGGTAGGCAGCCAGAGAAAGTCCTCAGTGTCCTAATGACAAGCAAACACTGACA